TTTGTCACATTCTCATCGAAATTGTTGCAATATTCATCTATTACACTTTACACATGAAATCGTTTATTTGAAAAAAGCTATGCTTGCATAAATTCGTTAGGTTAAAAATTCGATCGGTCAGACATAATCATCGCCACGCGGCTCGCTTTTATAGTCGCCTATTGTCAATTGGATAATTGGAGAGAATTTACGGTACTGTGTATTTTTTTATTATTACGAAGGTATGTACAGTCAATCACATATCTTTTCCGATACGTCAAAGAAAAATGAGACGACGCTAATGATCAGTGTGAAATTGATCAGTGTTAAATTTATTTCGTACATGAGACAAACCGTTAATCGTAAAGCGTTAACGCGTGGTTGCAACTAATCATTCGCAATAATTCTGTCCAATAGATTACCTAGGACTCCGCGTTTAATCATTCACTTAACGACCCACGCTGTTCTCTCGAGATCGATGTTGCATAAGCTGAAATCAGGATGATAATACTCGCAATTCCTTCGAATATTTCGCTCCAACCTGCATACGATGTTTCGTTGCTATTTTTGCTCATTAATTGGATGGCTTACGATTTCGGATAAAAGAAACTGTTCAGAATTATGCAACGAGAATGTGATACAATTAAAGAAATGAATCGCAAATTTCACAACGAATATCCGAACAGGATACACATCCTCCACGATCAGGCACCATAACGTCCACTCAAGATCGCACTAAAGATAAATAACGGATGCACGAAGCTCGTTTTGCAACGAGCGAATCGCATCGAAACGATCGGTACAATTGTACCGTATCATTAAATACTACTATGTAAAGTATGAAATAATTGATTAATTTCACTCGTCCGATTTACGGACTAATTACGTCACAAATGCATTAATTGTATCGAGCTGTCACTTACGTATTTACGTTCCTTTTCGGTACATTTCGCGTTACAATGATCTCGAAATAATTTTTCTTATTCCGCTAAAATTCTAAAGCTTACATTGTATCGCGAGAGAATATTAATTATTAATTCATTAAGTGCAATTATATTTTGAAGCAATCTTCGTCTATCTATACTAGAATTACAAAATCTAAATTGTAATGTTAGAGGAAATGAATTGTCAATATAATTTATACAATTATTCTCGACTACTTTCGATTTACCTACTACAATTCTAAATTCTATTATGAATTATTATTAAATCATTGACACATTTATTTCCAACTAATTTTTCTGTATTTACTAAAATTCCAAGGTTTAAATCGTATTTCGGAAGATTATTCATACAGTTGAATTAATTATTAATGCGCTACGTAGAATTATGTTCGACCGATCGATATTGATCTATCAGGATGTTAAATTCTTATTTTCATTGTAGGAGAAAATCATCATCTTTAGGATGGATAAACTTGCAAGGTGGACGCGAGCAAGCAGTCGGTTCTCGATCCACCGTTCAAGAGGATACATAATAATTTCAAGATGAATCGGCGTGGTTTTATTCGCAGTGGTCCGAACTCGTGACGTTTAATTATCGATTATTACTTATTGGTGTCTTCGTTAGCCACGGACACAGCAAAGAGAATTCTCCGAGGTGGCTGCGAGTCGATGACTTATTGTTAGTCATATCGACCGACACATGTCGTATATTTTCTGACCCAGAAAGAGATTCTTGCGAATGGAGAAGGAGCGCCGAGCGACAAGTAGCGAATCGAGCAGAGCTAAACGACTAACACGTCCATTGCCTCACTGCCGGTAAGTACGCGGCCATAGCAAATCTACGATTAGGGTACTGCTGCAAGTCAAATATCGTTACGTGGTCAGGAATAGTGATCGACTCCTTTCTAAGCGGCTCTCACTTCGAATTGTTAAGGCAGGATCCGCAATGGTATTCAAACGGCACTCGGGAGAAATTGTTTGCCAAACAAATAACAAATATTAACCCCTAAATGCTTTGCTTAATTCGAAATGTGTGCAAACGTGTGCTGAATTATTATTTTGAACCGATGATGAGTAAATATACTTGGCAAACGAACAGTAAGTGCATTTCCTGTCGAATTGAAGTAAATATTTATGTTATTATTCCTTGAAGCTTCATTATTTCAAAAATGTAATATTTGATTTATTCGTGAACAAAACAAATTGTTGATATTTAGAAAATGATCAGAGTAATTCGTTTGGAAAGAAGATCATAATATCTTTTTAATGTTCTGAATAATTTTACAAATCATTTTTATAATATGTGTAAAATGATTTTCAATATCTGTCGAAAGAATTTAATCACCTAGTTTCGCTTTTATTCATTTCTCCTGACGTTCATACATCGTTTTCTCAAAAATAATTATTTTAATTTACTACAATTCGTCTAATATCATTTTCGATCGAATGCTCGTGATCATGATAACGAATGAACGTAAAAAATGGTCATCATTATTCCAAGAAAAAAAGCTTTCCGGGCAAGCTTTACAGTAAGTCGACAGGTTTGTTTATGTATTCTTGCAAAAAGCGGTGTCAAGCGTAAAAACTTCTTCGTAGAATATACATATACAAGCCCAAGCGTATAAAAACAGTCTTCGTAGTTTAAAAAAAGAGGCCGCAAAGGTATTTAACAATGCTTCGTACATGTATAATTTACGGGTAAATGAGATGGAATAAAGACGAGGCTGACCCTAACTGTATTGATGTCTCGTCTAATGATGCATACTAAAGATTGTAAATATTCAGTGATTTGCATCGAAAGAAATACTGCATCGGAAAAACAGAATTACAGAAACAACCTTATTATGTTAGGGATACTGCGATTGTTCCACACGCGCGTTGAATTATTATGATAATGACGCAACTAAATCAGCGATTTTGTTAAACTATCGATTGTTTATGCTGAAATGTGCACAGAGTATACAGTTTATAAATTCATTCGCTTTAATTTCAATGATAGAAAATTTGTACCAATTCTTCAACAACGTAACCAACAATAATAAACTACCGATGTGCAAGCAAAAAACGATATTGAAAAAAATTCAAAGAGATTGTACGATGCGTGACTTTGTATGTACATTTATTTCGTACACAGCCTTAAAAAAATGCGATTAATCTGATTACAAATATATATTATTTCTGCATGCAGTAAACAAAAAAGATAAAAGTAATAAATAACTCATGATAATTTCCTCTTTCGATTCGTTCTCATAAAAACTCTTACAGGGTGTCAATATACGAGCCTTTATTTCTTCTTTTCACGTTTGTTAGTATTATTACTAGACTGCTAAAATAAAAAATCTCAGGAAACATGTACATCAATGATGATCAATGACATCCTTATTTACATTTAATAAAAATAATCTCTACCTTGGTATAACAAATTTTCCAATAAAACAAGCAATGAAAATGAAAATTTGCACAAGAATTCCTGCGTCTTCTATCTATTCGATTTTAATAAGATTCTTATTTTTTTATTTAGAGAAGAAGTCTCCTTAAAACAATATCTGTTACAAAATAACCAATCGGAACAAGAATTTTAATAAAAACACCCAGTGTTCTGTCTGCTAAATGAACGAGATTCTTATCTTGTTATCAGAAAACGAAATCTCCTTAACGCAATAAATTCTGCAACGAAGTAACCGATCGAGATGAAAATCTACACGAAAGTCCCTAGTCGGTCTATTACGTCAGTGAGATTCCCATTTCGATTTCTACGAAATTCCATAAATATTCAGCTCGCTAGAAATCCCAAACTAACCAATGAAAATACGAATTTGCATAAAGCTACCTAGCCTGGTTATTCGTAAGGCATTGCAGGAAATGTCACGTCAATACGTTCGATAACGCCGGGCTGAGAGACACGCTCGTTTCATGAGTTCTGTACTCACGCGTCGACCTTTTATTATTTCGTAATCCCTGTGGCGAAACGATGATACCGATAAACCGTATCAATGCTGCGTAACGGAGCAAATAAAGGCGAGCAACATATCGCGCGCGTTGCTGCTTTAGGTAACACGCGTGAACACGCGTGCGGACGCGATTAAGGCCAACGTTAAATGTTCACCGTCCTTACACGTACGGTTACTTTTATGCGAAACTGAAGTTCAAACTGGAACACATGCCCACTGCGCGGGAACTTGTAATCGCAGAATTCTCATTAGTCACGGATCACCGATGGTAAATCTGCGTCTCCCCAAGTGAATACTTACATACATATCTATGTATATCGTTTTCCAGCTGCAACCTTGGTATGCGTGGCAAGCGGCGGCACAGGTGTTACCGTGATATAACATCGTTTCCTTCGGCGCTGAGGCCTACGATTGACTTACGAAATGGTTAATTAAGTTCTAATGTGAAGAAATCAGTCGACATCACCAAGACCGTGTACCGAAGCCACATATTATTCGCCGGCCGGACCGATGTACGTACACGTGGGGATTTTTTATGGGAAACCTCGGATGCATTGTATTCGCGATGAATGATGGCGCATTGTGCTATCAATGAAACGGGGAAAAATACTGTTCGACGTGATTCGCCGCTCGAACTGTCTGTTGTACAATCTTCGTACCCGCGGACTTCGCGCATTCGTGACAAAATGGGATGGATGAAATGCGAAACGGTGAGAATGTTCGAAGAATTCGAGATCGTGTCATTATCATAGCGAACTTCAGCACGATGTCACGGGTCACAACGCATCGGGCAATTGTCATGATTTTTGTCACAAAGTGTTCTCATCGCAAAATTGCTTTAAACTGGAACAGGAGAAAAGTATTCGTTTAAAAGGCGTTAACGCGTTTCTGGGGATTTTGAACAGGACAATGAAATCTGCCATAATATTGCTTCAACAGATGCGCCATAATACAGCGCAGAATTATTATCGTCGGAAGTAAACGGGAATGATGAATGCATATTTAATGATTTAGTGTAATCATCATAATTCGTTGATTTTTATAATCGATAACTACCGTCGAATTTTATTCGTACTTGTATTGAAATGACGATCTACGTAAATAATTATACTCATCCAATGATAAATTGTTCGATGAATCATTTTCTCTTTGCCATTATATCTCGTTAATTTGCATATTACATTAATATGTTTTACAGACGTTGCGATCATCTGCAAGAAATCCAAAAATAACAGAAAAATTGCATATGATAAAAATCCGATAAAAATGCCGTTCGTTCCAGTTCACTTCACAGTGTTTTAACAATTTCCACGTGCAACCGTGACAAAATCCACACGTAGGATCTCATCTCTTTTTATGTCGCTTCAACATCTGAAAAGAAATTCGCGTGATTTCGTTCAATTTGAAAAAGGTTATTCGATTTTCGATGGGTGTCCGAGCATTAATGTCGGTCACCGTAGCTCATCGTAGGAATATTATAACGGTCACCTTACATAAGACACTTGAAACCAAGAAACCGAGAATTTCATAGCAGCTAGCTTGATACGTGTCAAGCACTAAACGAACGGAAATCACCGTTTGCGCATCGCAGTGCAACAAGGAAATCGTTGTGTGCACACCTTTACCGAGTGTCTTAGAGAGAGGAGCCACTTAGGTAGAGCCGCAGTAACTCTATAACATAAGCGTGCCAGTTGGTGGCAAATTTGCGGATGCGTGCAATTGGCATTGCATATGCCCTGCCGTATACCTATACGTTGGCAATGGCAAACCAGCTGTCCAATCGGCAGCTATGAAGCAGTTAACTTAATATAGGTGCACTCGGAATGTGTGCCATCGACGACCTCGAGGGCTTCCCTAGGTCAGTGCTAATTCTCCAGAACCGACCGCTTCTTCTTCCGAATTTCCGGTCGACCTTGAAGACATCCACGGCATCGATCGCCGTGCCGTCGATTATCATTGCGAACCCGGTCAGCGGTTTTCCACCTAAACGAGAGCCCATAGTCGCACTATCCTTGCATTGGTGAATCGATCTCTTACCGATGAAGGTCAGCCTCGAACACAACGATCCCTTTCGGATCGATTCTATTCAATGATGGAATACGACGGTAGCACGCTTCGGCATTCATTCGAACGATATATGTATTTCGAACAATGAAGATATCCAATTGAAGGATCATTGAATCATGAACTTCTCGTCGATCTCGCAGCTCCGTCCTATCGACGCTTCGTCCGTCCACTGTTTTAAAGGGCGCCACCTCTCTGTTTCTCGTGATTGGAAAGGATTTTTTTAAGTAACTAACTCGTTGTTAGAGGATGCAAAGAGACGTCGCTCTTTGAAACGAGCGCGAGCAGAATGTTGTAGGATCTTCTCGCGTAAAGTAAGAAGAGTTCGAAGATGAAAAATTTGTCGCTTATAATTTATTGAGCCAGTGCGAGAACTGTGATTTAGTTTATTGTCACGTTAAAATGATTTTTCTGCGGAAACAAAATTTCGACGATGCATGTCGTTGCGTCGGACGTTAAGTGTAAATATTTCTTCTATAGAAATTCATTCGAATAAAATGATGTCGCTAGACTGCAGGTCTTTGTGCGAAAGAAAAATTGTCTACACCAATTCTAGGAGGCAGGAACGTCAGTTTTAATAAGTTAAAAATAATTTGGCAATATTCTTTTTGTCGGATGCTTTCGTTGATCTATTTTCACTAGGAATGCGTGAAATTCGCATTTTATTTGAAACAAGGAGTTATTTAAATTTCATGCATTACGATGAATTATTCGCAAAATAAAACGAATTTTATGCAAAATAAAATTACTCTCTCGATATGATTTCCAAAAACTCATTATAATTACTTAATGTTTTACAGCAAATAAAGCGTGCTCGAGTGTGCTCGCTATCCGATTAATATTTAACAGTTGTCCAGCAATTTTCAAAGATCAGTCGGAAAGTAATTAAACGCTATCCGATTCAGGTTTGCGAAATCGAGATATCCGTGTGTACACGCGACCGTTCTTTCAATCGGAAACCATGGTCGGTTAAAGTATTGCCACGCTGACAGTTACATTTACATGGGAAATAAATTCGACCGGCATTCCTAAGTTATCCCCGGAATTCAGGATACTGTACCACGGGTATCGAACAGCAGAACATGCTTTATTACGAAAATGATTTTGCCGAGTTCAGCAATCTGGTGATCGTCAATTTTCACTTTCACTTTAATATTTCTTCGGCGCAAGTAATTCGCAATGCACCGCCCAGGAATGTGATAATGGCACACGTAATATCGCAATGCGCCGATATTATCGAGCACACCGGACTTTTTTTCATTAAATGTGAACGTTTATGTGTGTACAGGGTCTCTGGAAAGCATGTCCGACCCGGTGCGTAAAAGTTCGCTTTATCTGTACAGAATAATATTTCGCTGATATTTGCATGGCACCGTAATTGTCCCCGATCGTATCTATCAGGCTATAAATTATTGGCGCGGAGCACAATTTCTTTTCTTGTTCGATATTTCCATGCGAAATCAATTGCGCCGAATGGATCGTTAACATTGTACGAAATAATGATAGCACTTTGGTCGAGTAACTGTGAACATTTATTAAACGTTACACTTTAAGTAAGTAACTATTTTAATCAGATCGCGGATTTTACGTATTTATGACGAAAATTTGTAAGCATAACTTAATGTAAAATTAAGCAGCAAACATATTAAGAGAATACGAAAGTGTCGAGATATTGTTTTCAGCTTGTTAAAACCATCGAAGGAAAAATTAAATTTGCTAACAATTTTGATTTCGCGTACGTAGATGTGTCGCGTATATTTCCAGTGAAAATAACAATTTGATATATTTCTCTGTGACAGGTTTTCAAAGATGAAAAATGCAATAATTGCATAAAAACATCAGTTTAATTGCGATGCTCAGAGTCGCAAGATCGACAGATGGTAAATACACAATTTTCGCATCAATACTCTGACATATGCAAATACGAAAGTTTTTCTCTTCTTTAATTTATTTAAATTGGAACGAAACGTTGCAGACAAATAAATTACGTGCAGAAAGTACTTCAGAGTCGATTGACGATTATGTTCGATGAATTTTATGTTTTTATGTCAAAGACGTTTTTTGTTCTTTTTATGTCGAAGATAATTATCCCTCCTGATGTGTCACAGATTTTCTTCTATCGCTGAAAACAACCGAGGTATTTTAGGTGAAAATCTTAGATGCCACATCCTGTTTATAATCGACGAGTATAATATGCTTTGAAGAACTGTGCTGTTAAAATTTTACCGTAAACACACAACGGTGAGACTGAATATAACAGTTACATCGTTACTAATATATGAACGAAAACTTAACAAAATATCATATTTGTATCTTTCTATTTTCTATTATTTCTGATATAGAAACGTACAAATTAAATTAACATTTTAAGTTAAAATTTCGTTTAGATACCACTGAAAATGTAAAAGTAACTTCGAGTATCACGCCACTGTATATAGTGTAACAATTATTTTCTGTTTCAACAAGGCAATCACACATTAATAAAAAGATATAATAACTTCCGCAGGCGAAAAACGAATGCATGAATATTTAAATTAAAGATTACCACAGGGAATACAACTAATGAATTTTGACGAACGATGCTGTTTATTAAATCGATAAATGCTACGCCAATCCCACTGATCATTTCAGTCCATTTTCTAGAAGACAAAGAACCCGAGGCAATTTTTCTTTGATAAAAAGAAATATTGAGAATCTTTCCAATTTTACATTAAAAATCGAACACCCCTCTGCGATTCCTTTTAACTAACACTAACGACGCAATAAGTCGATAATGAACTAGATGCGATTTTAATTAAACACACACACACACACAGACATATTACAGAAACAACAGATTAAGTAATTAACTAATTCGCAGAATACGATTTGGGCGAGGAATGCGCAATTCGGCAACTTTCATTACGTTCTTATCGGATCATTGTGAAGATCCGACGATTCAACCGTCTGCGTTCTAAAGGACGCTCGGTAATTGATCGGACAAGAATCGCGTATAATTACTGCTAGTAGGCCAGTACCGTTATTGATACGAATGAAATTTTATACGGCGCAGCATTCCGCCAACAGGAATTACGCAGTTCAATTACGGACACGCACGCCGTTTCACTGGGGAACGTACCACGGGCAGATGGTCTAATTACGAGATTGTAGAACGAAAATCGGCCTGGACCGAATCACGCCGAGGGTTAACGCGTTGATTAAATTTTATCGACGGGGTTTCCCGTTTTCGTTGACACGCGGCATCGTTCGAGACGAGAAGATACGAGAGCCCGGTCTATAAATCTCCCGGTGGTGGCGTTGACTGACAAGTTGGTTCATAGGTAATTGGATAATGCCGAACTCCTTATGAATTATTCACGAAACGAAAGCAATATTTTTAAACAGATCCGCGCCTAGAAAACAACCTTTTTTTCGCACGCGTCGAACGAAAGCTGCGCTAAAATCGAATTCGTAAAATCGAATACGAACCAATTAACAACGTTCCGTAGTTCGATTGCTTCTACAAATCTGGAATACACAGATCGCGGTCTTTTCGTCGAGTTCTTCCCACAGCGTTTGCAATTTTATTCCGAACAATGTGACGGCCGCTGGTCGCGAACACGTGACTCCGCGAGCATTTGAATGACAAAAATCAATTCGGCGCAATTGTGTATCATAATTGTGTCATTAACACGTCGACTGCCGCACCGGCCATACGTGGATGACGGAATTATTTAAGATTTGATTCAGGTAAAATTGACATGCATTAGTCCAAAAAGTAAGGCATATATTGGTATAAAATCGACGCGTGATCGACGCGAGGCCGGAAAATAAATTCGAGGAAACAAGGAAGAACATTCTTCCGCCGATTTTGCTGTAAGATACTCGTAAAGCGATACAACGACGGCAATTTGTCTGTGTCCAGGCGACTTTCTATGTTACTTGCGTTTCCTCATTTTTATCATTCACGTGGATATACATGTATGAATAAATCAGCACGCAGTATGCAAATCTCGGCCATAACGCGAAGACTGTTCGTGAACTCAGAAGTATTGGAAGTATTTCTTGGTTCCTATACAAAAC